ATATATATATATATATATACTTATTTATTTATGTATGAATACATGTGCGTACGCATATATGTACATCCGTAGTATATATATATATATACATATACATACATATACGACAATAGCCACATACCTGCAGTGTCAAGAACATCTGCGTGTACGGCTCCATCCGTATCAGATACGACGCGACAATCATTGCCGACGAGAAGTGTGTGCCGTAGTGAAAAGGCGGCGTCTCACCCGTAGGATCCTCCCAGTTGTTGTACCGTTGCGTGTAGTACTGCGCACGCTCGGGCGTTTGATTGCCCATGGGCTTGGATAAATCACGGAAGGTCTTGGGATCGTTCAGGTCCAGTGTTTCGCTGTCATAGTCCGCCAGTATCCATGGAAACACTGGGTATTGGGTTAGGTCGTTATAGGACCTTCCAGCCCAAGTGTTGATCCACATCAAGTACTGGAAATTGGACAACTCACCCGCCACCCACCGTTGCGTAGGCGACCGCTCACCCCACAGCTGCGAGAATACGCCCTTGGACTCTTCGGCAATGTCTCTAAACCCGGCCGAGACCAGGGTCTGCCCGGCCACGTCCATGATACCCTTGGAGATGCTCTTGGAGAACGATCCCACGGTGCTGTGAATGAGCTTCTTGTACACGTTATCCCGATCACTCTTCACAAACGCCAACAGGTGGTCTCTGCCGTCGTCCGAGAAGATCTCCACGGCCACCTCACGTAGCAGGAAGCGTCGCTTGTGCACCTCCTGAACACACTTGTACGGGCACTTGATGATCCCACTGTCATCCCCCATCTCCGTCTTGACCTCTCGCGTGGCTTCGGGGTCCGTGGCCCCGAAATTGTCCGCCAGTTTGGGGACAATAGGCCGGTAGTTGTCACCCAACTCCAGCACCGCCGCGGCCATCTCCATGATGGTGCTCTTCTGCGTGGCGGCATCGTATACATAACGATACCCGTCGATGATGTAGATGTTACGCTTACACAGCAGCAGCACGCTGTCCACAGCGTCTAAGCCCTGGATACGGCTGCAGTTGAAGCAGAACTGGATGGCGTCACCCGGCTCTAACTGGCGCATGATGGTCATGTCTTCTTCTTTGAAGTCCTCGTCGGTGTCATCGTCGGACTCGGAGCCTATCGCCTCGTCCTCAGCTGTGTCTGTAGGTAGGTAGGTGGATAGGCAGGTAGGTAGGTAGGCAGGTAGGTAGGTAGGCAGGTGGGCAGGTTGAATAAGACAGAATGAAAGATAAACAGGCTTTAGATAGATATATAGATACATGGATAGATTTATAGTATATAAATACGCAGATAGACACGTAGATAGAAACGTCGATAGATACATAGATACATAAATAGACAAAATAGATAGACACCTACATACTTGGATAGATACGTAGATATATAAATACATAGATAGACACGTAGATAGAAACATCGATACATACATAGATACATAAATAAACAAATATATAGACATATACATATATAAATATATAGATAGGCACATACATATATAAATACATAGATAGACACGTAGATAGAAACATCGATACATACATACATACATAGATACATAAATAAACAAATAGATAGACACATACATATATAAATACATAGATAGACACATAGATAGAAACATCGATACATACATAGATACATAAATAAACAAATAGATAGACACATACATATATAAATATATAGATAGGCATATACATATATAAATACATAGATAGACACGTAGATAGAAACATCGATACATACATAGATACATAAATAAACAAATAGATAGACTCATACATATATAAATACATAGATAGACACATAGATAGAAATATAGATACATACAAAAATACATAAATAAACAAATAGATAGAAACATAGATAGGCACATAGATATATAAATACATAGATAGACACGTAGATAGAAACATCGATAAATACAAGGATACATAAATAAACAAATAGATAGACACATAGATATATAAATACATAGATACACACGTAGATAGAAACACCGATACGTACATAGATACATGGATACATAAATAGACAAATAGACACATACATACTTGGATAGAAACATAGATATATAAATACACAGATAGACATGTAGATAGAAATATAGATACATACATAGACACACAAATACACAGTCACACATGTATATCTCCATATATACCTACACACGTGTACACATCACCGGCCCATACCTGCTGGGGCGTTGCCGTCCTTGCTATCCGTCTGCGGGTCTTCTTCCGTGCCCTTCTCCTCCGCCTCTCCCGTCACCTCTATACTCTCCCGCCCCTCACTCTCTGCCTCCGCACCCGTGCGCATGAGCGTATCGGCCGAAAACACCTTAAAGTCCGATAGCTCAGACAGCTCGGAGATGACCTCCTGCTCCTTCTGCGTGAGTGTTTCGCATGGGTCGGGCGTGGCTGTGGCGGTGGCTTGTGCGCGAGTGTTCTGTTGGCTCTGTAATGCGCTGCTGCCGTCGGTGAGAAGACCAGCGTACGTCTCGACAAAGTCATAGTTCCTGGGGGTGGTATAGTTGTGTAGGGTTTTAGGGTTTTTAGGGTAGTGTGATATAGGTGCATGTGTGTGTGTGTGTGTGCATGATGTGTAGTGTATTGCAATGAACATAGAGTGTTTTGCAGATGGCATGAGAGGAGAAGTTTATATACACAGATGTGTTTACTGAGGGTTTAGGGTGTAGGAACCGTAAAACCCTTAAAACCCTAAAACTGAGAAATTATAGACGTTGAACGAGGAGGTTGAAGATTTCAGAGTCTAGGGTTTAGGGTTGAACCAGTATCGGATGGGCTTACTCAGGAATCATAGATGTGGTGTGAGCACGCACATATAAAAGCACTCACACATTTACACACATGCTACGACATACTACAACACACACATGCATGCACATGCCATAATACACACACACACACATGTATACACATGTACACACATGCTACGACATACTACAACACACACATGCATGCACATGCTATAATACACACATACACACATGTATACACATGTACACACATGCTACAACACACACACACACAAACATGTATACACATTTACTCACACACACCTGCACAGACGCCTCCTGACGCGTGCAGGCCCTTCAATCACATCCAGCTTCCAGTACGCATCCTGCTCAATCTCTTCGCCATACAGCCCCCTCTCGCGCCACAGATTGCTAAACATGTAGTTGGCGCGTATGCTGATATAGTTCTGGCTGTCCACATAGTGCTGCCGGTACTTGCCAAACATGTTGGCCTCATACACGTGGATGCTCTCTACTGTGCCCATGGTCTGTCCCCTGAGCTTGTGCATGGTCTCCTGTACCTTTGTGTCGCGTCGGATGTGTTGCTGTAACACGTTAGAGCGCGAGTGTCGCCGTTGTACGGTGGCGTACTCGCGCACACTCGACACCTGTGAGTGAGCGAGGAGACGGGCAGACGGGAGATGAGTGGGGAAGGACGGGGAGAGGGCGTACACGCATAGCACATACACATGCAAGCCAGGAGGAAAGCTCACACACATGCAAGCCAGTAGGTAAGCTCGCACACATGCAAGCCAGGAGGTAAGCTAACACCCATGCAAGACAGGAGGTAAGCTCACACCCATACAAGCCAGGAGATAAGCTCACACCCATGCAAACCACGAGGTAAGCACACACACATGCAAGCCAGGAGGTCAACTCACACACATGCAAGTCAGGAGGTAAGCTCACACACATGCAAGTCAGGAGGTAAGCTCACAACCATGCAAGCCAGGAGGTAAGCTCACACCCATACAAGCCAGGAGGTAAGCTCAAAACCATGCAAGCCAGGAGGTAAGCTGACAACCATGCAAACCAGGAGGTAAGCTCAAAACCATGCAAGCCAGGAGGTAAGCTCACACCCATGCAAGCCAGGAGGAAGCTCACACACATGCAAGCCAGGAGGTAAGCACACACACACATGCAAGCCAGGAGGTAGGCTCACACCCATGCAAGCCAGGAGGTAAGCTCACAACCATGCAAGCCAGGAGGTAAGCACACACCCATGCAAGCCAGGAGGTAAGCACACACCCATGCAAGCCAGTAGGTAAGCACACACCCATGCAAGCCTGGAGGTAAGCTCACACACATGCAAGTCTGGAGGTAAGCACACACGCATGCAAGCCAGGAGGTAAGCTCACACCCATGCAAGCCAGGAGGTAAGCTCACAACCATGCAAGCCAGGAGGTAAGCACACAAGCATGCAAGCCAGGAGGTAAGCACACACCCATGCAAGCCAGGAGGTAAGCTAACACACATGCAAGCCAGGAGGTAAGCTCACACCCGTGCAAGCCAGGAGGTAAGATCACACATATGCAAGCCAGGAGGTAAGCTCACACACATGCAA